CATATATATATGTTCTTTTAGCGCACTTTTTGTTATCTTATGCAATGTTGTATTGTCGGCCTTGCTAGTTGTTCTACTTGCGAAACAAACAGTATGCCCGATCGGCGTCGACATATGTATGTGTATGACACAAACATACCGAAGAATCTGCATCGTCCGTTTTTATGTTATGATTATTATTATTATAAATAATAGACGTTTACACTTCCATACAAATCTTCAGAGTTCATTCATATTCGTAGCATTTACTGCAAACGACTTTTTCAGTAGATAAAAACATCTTCAGATAAAAGAAACAGAGAGAATGTATGACAATTTTCAAAAATACTAATCTTGACATAACGATAAATATCTATCTATCTCTTAAATAAGTAGATAGATTTTCATCTGCGAAATAAAGATGGCATGTACCCAGTGTCTCAAATTTTGGTGAAATAGGTGGCATCATCTTATAGGTAAACCATTTTCGGTTTAGTCCTCCTTTAAATGTTGTTTTCTTTTTCCCTATATTTTCATCTGGACTTGTTATTGAGAAGGCACTCTTCAGCATGTGTGTAACCGGTGATATTCTTCATTTAACTTCTTTCAAATGGATACCTGTAAAAAATAATTCCTATTAATTCAACACATATTTTCTTACTAAGTAAATAATTTATTAACTATCAAGTGGATGAAAATGACGACAGTTAGGCCTTAATTAATTAGGTTAAATGATTTTATGACAGAGTAACAACTGTTTGATAAAATATTGAGATAATCCTTAATCTCATTCATTTTCTGATAACTAACTTTTAGAAAATTAAACGCATAAAACTGATGAGATATTAAAATATCAAAGTACAAACATATTATTTCCCTTGTAGGATAAAGCAATTGTAAAGTTTTTAAAAATAAATTAGTGGAAAATTGGTACCTTGATATTGAAAGGTAATAGTAGAAATGAATATATGTAGTACTTGGTTTTGTTTTTGAGTTTTTTACTCGTTTAGTTACAATTCCATTCGACTGTTACCTATTTTAATACCTGTCACATACTAAAATAAATTTTTAACAAGCTACATAGGTAAAAATACCTCTTTTTCCTTTCCGTATTTAAATGAAAACTTCTTACAATTAGATTGACTTTAATTTTGAATTGAACTTTCAACTGTAAGTGAAGATACCTATTACAATATCTGTACAAAGCGCGACTAAAAATTCCTAGAACTTTTGTTACATGATTCACCTGCCGTTTTCTTGTGATATATTCATCATGGTAAGTCATATCAAAATTATACAGTAATGTGTCACACCATACATACATTACAGACTCATACATACGCTGCGTTTCTGGAGCAGTTTTACGAGTTTAAAACCAATCATTCTGTTTTAATCCCATAATGTCCAAATCCACTGTAAAATTTTAAGACCATTAACACCAATACAACATGAACAGGTTAATTTTAAAACTAAACACGCGTTATGGTTTGAAATTGACAACTGCCAAAAGGTTTAATAATCTCACAATTAGTAGGTTAATTTGCATAAAAAATAATTTGTCTGAACATAACTGCGACAGAGAAGAAAAAGAGACCACCGCAATAAAATCAACAAACGGTTTCAAACATTTATTAGCTGGGAGTGCATTTCTTGGGTTGTGCACATTTTGCTGTCAGGGTTTTATAAGGAGTAAAAGTGATAAAGAAGTTTGGCCTAATAAAGTGAAAGATTACTTAACTTTAATCACGTTGTACGACCAAATATCCTTGGCTGTGGCAGTGGTATCTGGTTTGATATCAGTACGACATCCTCCACTNTTTATATTTTTTTAAAATGATACTTACGCATTAGCATGCTAATTTAATTAAGTACATCTTTAGGTTGCCCAGTTGGGTAAATTTCTCTAATTTATTGTTTATTTTTGCTGTCAGGGTTTTATAAGGAGTAAAAGTGATAAAGAAGTTTGGCCTAATAAAGTGAAAGATTACTTAACTTTAATCACGTTGTACGACCAAATATCCTTGGCTGTGGCAGTGGTATCTGGTTTGATATCAGTACGACATCCTCCACTTTTAAGGTGTACGTACAACCATGTCTACTTAACTTCAGCTATTGGAATTGGTTTAATTGGTGGTACAGGTCTTCTAATCCGCCAAATGCCTTACGAAAAGGATTTTAGTTCGAAGCACGCAGCTTGGTTAATCCATGAGGTTCTTTTAGGAGGATTTGGAGGAAATATGCTGTTCACTGCAGGCCCACTCCTACTCAGGTTGGTGCTATATTTTGCAGGAGCAGTGACGGCATTAAATCTTGTTGTTTTGTCATCATCCAATGAAGAATTTCTTAAAGTTCGGGGACCAATTTCCGAATTCTTGGGAGTTGTTATTTGTGCTTGCTACAGCCACTGGTTTTTGCCTGCAACAAATGTGTATTATTCAAAAATGCAATCTCCCCTGTTGTCGATTTCTTTGTACGGTTGTTTAATATACGGTTGTGTTTTGTTGTGGTTCGATGTGGTAAAAAGGATTTTTATCTCCGAATGTTATTCGCAATCGAAAACATCTGATAGGAAACCTCTGGATCCTATCAACATAACTATTGCGACAAAAACGTTTGCGTTTATGGGAAGTTTGGTTGCGGATAATGATTGTGGTCGTACTTTATAAATTGACTGAACACTCGTATTCTAATAATATATTTGTGCCAAGCGTAACCGAAATAGTACAATAGTGCAATAAAATATTTATCAAAACTGCGGAATAATTATTTATTCATATATAACAGTATATATATATATATACGTAGTAGTCCATTTTAGAAGAATGTTGTATAAAGTACAAGTAAAATCATATATTTAGTTCTCACGCATATGCTTCGGTGATCTTGGCATTTAAGTTGCTGACGGAGAAAGTAACCACAACTTCATTTACTGCATTGCACTGGAATTGCTCTTGTTAAGTAATGGTGAGCATCTTGTAATTCTAACAAACAGTACTAAATACTAAGTAGATACTTTTATAAAAAGGACACCCTTAATTCTATAACAGATACATTTAAGATAACATTTCATTACTAATGTCGACCTATTTTAAAGAAGGGAGGTTCTGAATTCGACTGCATTTTTTTTGCATGTATGTAACGCGATCTCTTCGCCAATTGTGAACCTATTTCAGTAAATCTTTTTTTTTTATTGAATGACCTATATCTAATTAAAATTTAAAAAATATATTCCACCTTTAAGGATGGAAAATTAAGGGTGTACTTATACACATACATATATATATATATAATTGGGAGTAGATTTAGCGATAAAATTATGTCACTTAGTTTCTGATTGATTAATTTGATGCTAGGTGATTACTATGCAAACAAAGCACACATTTGAATTGAGAATCAAATTACCGATCGATTGTTGTGTATGTGGAAAACAAAGAGTGGTTTGATGGCAAAGAATTTGAGGTCATAAAGTGGCCAGCTTGTTCGCCAGACCTCAACCCTATCGAAAATCTCTGGAAATTAATGAAAGATATCCTTGAGAAAGAGCCTGAACGCTCGATTGACAATTGGATGTCCAAAATCGAGACCATTTGGAACGATTTGGTCCCTAAATATTAGGAGTCTTTAATCGGGAGTATGAATTCCCGATTGGATTCGTGTATTGCTGCCAACGGTGATAAAACTAAATATTGATCTAATTGTAATCCTAATGTATATTTATCAGTCGATTATGTGCAATGAGAAAAATTTTTTCTAAATTCAAAGATTGTTAAAAACCAATTGAAACAATTATCAGTAAATATGCTCTCAAGTTTAGACAAAGTTTTCAAGACGATTTTTATTTTTAAATGTAAAAATGTTTTCTAATACCATCATACTTATCTATTTTAATCTAGACTAGCCTTTTGTCAAAATTTATTGTATGTAAATACATATAATAATTCTTCTTCCTGATAACACAAATCGGGACAATACCCTACCGGAAATGTTAGATTTTATAATACAGCTGTGCCCTTGTTGGCAGCTGCTACCCCTTTAATTTTTCTGTGACAACATTATACATAAGTATTTCTGTCAACTTAAAATGGTAAAATGTATCATAAGTAGACATGTCGCGTTAAATATTTTTCTAAAACGTGCATTTAAAATTTCCTTTTTAATTTGTTTTCCATTATGAATAAATAAATGAAAAATATATGGGCAAAAACCTAAGCTTTTAAAACCTATTGCTCGATTTAACCATTATAATGAGCAATTTTTTACAGTAAATTATCAGGTGTCAGGGATTAAAATTTACTCAAAACATACTGAAAATTGCCGAACCATAATCGTTATTATTGTTTGTTACTAGGAGCATGATATGCAAAATTTTAATTAAAAGGGCTTGAAGCCTTGAAATCTCACACCACACTGATGATAGATTACGGTTTGAATAGAATTTAAAAGTACATGTAAAAGATGACGCTAGCTTTCCATTTAATTAATGCAAGGCGTGATAACACACAAACTACAAATCAGTAATTTTTAAGCATTGCTTTCTTAGTAACAACCTTTGAGGAATATTTTGTAATAATTATGTAGATTGAATATAATACGAGTCACGCAAATACACACCCTATCTATTATGTTTTAAAGAATCAAGTTCGAAAAACGAATGGAAACAAATACCTTACATGTTATAACTACATAATGTGCAATTTATATTCATTCTTACAGAAGCAAATTCTAACTGCGAAACACCTTAGAGTGACCAGGCAAAGATTATAAAAGCATCATTATTAGATTCATTTGTATATTGATTTTTAAGCATTATTATAATCAGAAAAAATGATGATTATTTTCACATTTTACTTCTTCATTATTATTTTTATTTCTTTTAAAAGGTGGTTAATTGGTAAACAAAAACTTCCAAAAATATTTAATCATGCTCAAGTATGATTTCAAAGTATATTATACTCTTGAAAAATACTAAAGAAGTTGAAAAAATTCAAACTAATTTTATATTAAACCTTCTGAAGCATTACAGAGCATTTTTTATTTGTTTAGGTATGTATTTAAAAAGTATTTCAAAAGAAGCTTACCAATGAGTGAAATTCATAAAAAAACTTCCCGTTTATTACTGATGTGAATAAAGGATAATTTCACGTCTCATATGTACATACTAAATATCTTCCAGAAGCTACAGATGGCCTCACTGAATCGCTGATAATCAACATTTATAATTTAGTAGTTTTTGAGAAAATCACGAGAAAACTCGCATTCGATGATGGGAAGGAAAGCAGTTACAAGACATCAGAAATTTAATTTAATATTATACGTAATTGTTTTCTAAAGAAATTTGTCATAACTATTGTCTATCTAATCCTGAAAAATATAAGTTATTACAGACGAAACAGTTGTAAAGTTTATTAAAAAAGACTATAAAACAATGAGGCTTTTACTTATCTCTTTACGATTAATTATTTATATTTTTTTAAAATGATACTTACGCATTAGCATGCTAATTTAATTAAGTACATCTTTAGGTTGCCCAGTTGGGTAAATTTCTCTAATTTATTGTTTATTGTTTTGTAACATATGTACGTGTGCGAATAATAATAAAAAAATAAATTATTTAGGAATACAGTTCATGTTTACCTATCTACAATAGTATTTTTGCTCGAGCGATTCGATACGATACGTGATTTGCGGGTTGTTCATTTTTGTGACCAAGAGAAATAAGCACAAAGTTTTTGTCTTAGTTTCAGGAAATCGATTTGACGCAAGAATTGCTTCTTGTCGGATTATATTAAGTAACTTTGTCCTAGCAAAAACAATGCAGCATTTGTACGGCAGCCGTAAGAAAATCGCGCGTGTGAAAGAATTCAAACAATAATTCGCAACAAGGTCTGCTGCGAACGTTTCCACGTCTTCAGTTATTTTTCTACAGCTCTAATTATTCAATTTACAATTTTAGAAACAATCCATCTTTCCTTTTTAATTTACTTTTTCAATTATCATAAGTATTGTCAATTGTTTAAATCTATCGGTCCATTACTTACAATGCAAAGGCGTGAGACTTGAGACTTGTAGAAGTAACATTATTAACAAATTCTGTCTCGACTAGTGATGCATCGGAAAGTGATTTTGCTGGGTACCGGGTAACCGAGTACCCGGTGAGGTTTGGTTGAGGATAGGAAGAAGTCACAGAAAGAAATGGAGGTGGGTGTTCAAACAGTCGTCGTGCTGATGTCGTGCGTTAAAACTAGAGATGTGCAAAATGTTTTTTTTAAAGTATTCAAATAGAAAATGAAAATACTTCTTTGATTTGTTATTTCAAATATAAAATACAGAATAGATTTCCCTATTGTATTCCAAATGCTAAATGCAAAATACGTATTTTTAAAATACTTTTTTCAAATACATAAATATTTTTTTGTAGTAGGTACTTATTTTATAGGTTGCGAAACATGGACAGTGGGCGCGGCGGAACAGAAAGGTTAGAAGCCTTCGAAATGTGGTGTTATAGGCGGATGATGAGGATAACGTTCTAGAAAAGGTTAGAAATGAAGAGGTATTGGAAAGAATAGGAGAACAGAGAACTCTATGGAAGTCAATAAAATATAGGCGAGATAGGTTGGTGGCATGAAGGTTTAGTCAGACACGTATTAGAGGCAGAATCAGGAGTTAGGAGGGGTAAAGGCAGACCTAGATTAGATTACTGTTCGCAAATAGTTAAGGATGTGGGCTGTTCTAGTTTTAGGGAAATGCGAAGTTTAGCTCAGGATAGGAAAGAGTGGAGGTACGNTGGAATACATAGTTTTTTGAGCTTTGGATTCATCTAACAAGTGAAGTTTTTCGAATCGTTTTCTAAGGATTTTGGATTATACGCATTTATTAGCACACCACAATATCTTGTAGTTTTCGGTTTTACACAACTGTCGTATATTAATCAATATTTTGTCGTAATTGATAGAATTTCGTAGTTCCTTGCTACAGGTACGATAAGGGGTGATTTGCAGGTGCTGATATCAATTTAGAACTTTAAAATTCCATGGACCATGACATTGAACCCAAAAAAAAATATCGATCCAATATTTTAGATTATACATTTCCAAAAAGTTTAGAATTTTTGGGCTCTCTTCAGTTAAAGAATTAGAAGACATTCATAGAATGTCTCTTTGTTCACTTTTTAAGCTTCTAATACCTTCAACTGCCAATGTGAGCAACTTTATTCATTCATCATTTTATATTGTAGCTTGATCGATGATACTAGCAAAACTTTTAATAGCAAAAATGTATTTTGCATTTTACAAATAGAAAATAGGTTTGGAAAAGTATTTTAAATAAAATACAAAATGCTTTTCTCAAAAAACTATTTAAATGCAAGATAAAAATAGGTATTTTTTATTTTGTATTTGCGTTTTAAATACAAGTATTTCAAGTAAATCACATGTCTGGTTAAATAGAATATATAGAATCATAGAGGAATAAGTATTATCAGAAGCACTTCTTATAAGTTCTACCAAGAAATTCGTATATTATTACAAGTTGTAAGTATGAAGCAGATGAAACAGTTAGATAATGAATCTGCAGATATGTAGCTATAGAAATTTAAACGAGCGAAAACTCAAAAAAATTAGTAATCTCAACAAGCCAAACTAGATGTTATTATTTTATATTCTTGTTATCGTGTAGTCCTTAGATAATACGGAGAACATGTATTGCATTATAAAATGTTGCTCAGAGGAAATAAATCGAACAAAATGATTTCTTGCGATATTATTTGCATAATGAAAGAAGTTGCGAATGTAGCGGTTAACTTTTTTCTCAACTACCGTAATCTTGGTATTTTAATTTTAACGTTTTTCATAACAACAACGAGATGACCACTGGCATTAAAATGATATATTAGACTATACAAGTTATTTTGAATGCATATTATGGAGCACTCACTTCTGTTTGAAATGTTAAAGTAATAATTTCTACATTTATGAATTTCCTTATAATATGTATTAGATTATTTATGTCATTATAATAGGCATTTATCCATTTGTACGTATTTCGTTTTACATACAAGCAACAAAAGTATAAATTATAAAAATTATACAACCTTGAATCTTTATTTATTGGGGTCATGTATTGTACTTTTTATACAAAAAGAAGCAAGTTTAATTTAACGACACGATCGAATAAAATACTCCCGATAGAACCGATTTAACCTTAATTACATAAATTAACACATTAACATTACTTTCAAGGTGTTTCATATCTAAATTTAAACACAAATTATCAAAAGTACCTTTAATCCTTTGATAAGAAGAGTTTTATATTGCTCAGAATGCTCAAAAGTAATCTTGCCATATTAACAGAAGATAATTTCATGTATTTGCTTACCTGTCTCTTTAATACGTATAAGAAAAATAATGGTATAATGATTAAAACTTATCTACTAGATTTTCGCAGCTGTTTAGATAGCTTTTATTGAAAAAAAAAACTCCATTTATTTCCTAGTAAGTAATGAAATTGGAAAATGGTTAAAATATAAAAATTAAAAGCAACCATGTTCAGCGAAGCGCCCCTTCCCTTTATTTATGAAAATTAAATGAATTTTTAACCTACAGTAATAAAAATATATGTTTGTTAAACCTGTGCATTTTGCTTTAATCATATAAAATTATTTCTATAAAAAAAACAAGACACAACGTAAAAAGGAAAATATTTCATATCGAACTACAAACAACATTGATCATGCTGCATTATTATTAGGAATAATTATTGCTGATTTCGAATTATTAAATGCATTCCAACATGGCTTAACCACCAAGACCTTGGTCCCACATAAAATTCCTACTTACTCTGGCTCGTTGACTAACAGCAATGCTTCATTTGTAATACCCACTTATTTAAACCATATACGTAAACTGTACGCAGTATACAACGTAAAACAAAAAGGTACAACTTCTACTTAATATGCTCTAGACAATGTCATAAAAATGTCCATGCCGTGAAGACATTTACAGTTCCGCACACAAGTTTAATAATAATTAAAACATTGTACATTGCGAAACTTCGAAATGTTTTAATTAACTCAGTAACGAAATATAAAAAAGCTTTCAGCAAATATTATGTCAATAATAAATAGCTATATTCATAATTGTAAATAGTATAATTACATAATTACCTATCAAAAAAAAATTAGAAGTGGAATTAATTAAATCGTTTGTCAATTACATCCTAATAAAATTGATAATTTTCTGAAAACCATTTAAACATTAGCTTTTCGGTTTCGTTTTTCGGAACCGTTAAACATCTACGTACTAAAAGGTTATTTAATTTCTTACGAAGATGTGTACAAGTCTTCTGCCTACATTAACACATTGTTAAATTATCTATTTCATGTAATATCCACAGTTAACTCAGTAACGAAATATAAAAAAGCTATCAGTAAATATATTACGTCAATAATCCAGGGTGAATAGTTATATCCATAATTGTAAATAGTATAATTACATAATTACCTATCAAAAAAAAAATAAGAAGTGGATTTAATTAAATCGTTTGTCAATTACATCCTAATAAAATTGATAATTTTCTGAAAACCATTTAAACATTAGCTTTTCGGTTTCGTTTTTCGGAACAGTTAAACATCTACGTACTAAAAGGTTATTTAATTTCTTAGGAAGAAGTGTACAAGTCTTCTGTCTACATTAACACATTGTTAAACTATCTATTTCATGTAATATCGACAGTTATTTCCTATGTTGTAAGAGTTAGTTGTGTGTTAACTAAATTATTCACGGTTCTTGCTATAGTTGCCCATGCCCATTATTATTCGTTCCGTTTAACTTGGATAGTCCATAGTCCGATGGTGATATTAAAAGCACAAAGGCAGTAAGTAATTTCATTCGCACATGTCTCGAGCCAAGTGGTATTAGCTGCCATTGTTATGTATGTGTTACCACCTCGGTCTCGTTCTTGTAGAATGTGTCATTTCTTCGGGGGTCG